GGCAAGCGTTGAGTTTCAGCTTCGTGTATCCAAACAAACCCGCGAGCAAGTGAATTTTGGTTTACAAGTATGAACCACATGAGAGGATATACATATATACAACACGTATGAACCCTTTGTTCTTGTTTCTAATCACTTTTCACTTTAAAACGCTTTCCGGGCTATTCTCTTTCTCCTCCTGTGTCCTCTCAATAAACCCGAGAGTTGATAGAACTTGCGTTATAGCTATAAACGCTTTTCGTTTGCCTTTTTTTTTTGTTGAGGCTCACGTATCACTCGGGGTGCCGGTCGTTTTACGCGAAAAAGAGTTGGAAGTGAGGACTCCTGTCGCTGAGGGCGAATCGACGGGCGAATATCGAATAGCCCGACGCTCAAAGTGATGGGTGTCCCGTAGCTGGTGAGAGAAAGTAGATAACTCTCTCGATTGATCGATCGACAGATTCAACTTTTGCGAAAATTCAACTCGTCATACTCGGTGTAATAGTTGAAATTTCATTAAAGTTACATCTGAATAATTTTTATCCCCTTTTTGTCGTTCTTTTTGTTTTTATACTCTTTCATCGTTTTTTTTATGATGCTACTCTATTGCTTCCACTACTCTGTCCATTTGGATGTTATCATTCCTAAGCTCTTAGGCATTTTTAATGGAATAGATAATTTCATTTTTATTTATTTATTCAGCTGATTTTTACTTAACTAGTTATTCAAGTATTGTTTGGTATTTAAAAATCAAAAAAAAGTTTGATAAATTTTTCATTATTTACGTTCTGGAAGTACCAATATTCAGGAAATAGGAAGAATTTTTCGGCTGACATAGCTACATAAAATAGTGCTGAGAGCATATCACTAGGATATCGTTCATAAAATTAAATGTAATACTCTTCTATCGTTATAGATACTTTCTGTAATAGAATCAGATCCAAAAATAAACCAATATTTGATAAAAGATATATATTTATTATTCAATAAATGAAAAAGTTGCAACAAATTTATTGTTAATGAACCATATGATTTAATTTTTTTATTTAAATTTCGCTTTTGTTATTCAATTACAATATATGTTAAAAACGAATAACATTTTCGTGGGCATTGATTTATATAAAATGTATTAAATAATTAATCATGCCATCAAAAAATTAAAATACATAAAATAAATATTTATTTACTTTTTTCAATTATTTTCATCAGGAGTTCATCATCAAACAATTTATAAAAACGTAATTGGAAAATAACTCTAATTTACTGTCCAATTGAAGTTGAGATAAATTCTATCAACAATACATTGTAAAAATCATTTGTTCAAAAATGCAGTTCTGCAAATTATTCAATTACGAAAAAAACAAAATTTGACAAAAAAAAGTCCGAATCCTCGGAGAAAAGATTTCTTGATAACACATCTGATAACAATTCACTGCTAAATCAATCATTAATTAGTTGAATAAATGAATTGATATTGATTAATATCCATTTCTGCAAATATAATATTCACAGGTCAAGTACTAAGTTAAACTATCAGCAGTTGATGACGAGAAATGTAAGTGTAAGTACAATGGCGACGTGGCATTAATTGGACACGGAAATTTACTCAGAATTCCGACGTGCTGTGCCGCGTCACCAGGTGTACAAGATATGAGGGGGAAATTTTGATGGAGGTTAATTCATTCAGTACGGTATATGTATTACAAATGGAGGAAGCCTACGTAACTTATATATATATATGTATATATAGGAAAATAGCTAAGTGTGACTTTACCGAAGGAAGAGAGAAAGAGAAAGTTAAGAGGGTTACTCAAGGTTTCGCAACACTCTCAACACCAACTGCCCTTAAACTAACTCTCCTTCCTCTCTTCTTGGCATACTCAACAACCTGGGGACGATTTCAACCCCTCGTCCACACCTTGGATCGACGCAAGTTTGTCTCCTGATTAGACATTTATGACTTGAATGCCAAGTATGCGCTAAAGACGCTAATTAGAACTTCTCGTTAGAGTTTGCTAACTCGTCTACTTTACCTTTATATTGATAATTAGCAGTGAGCAGAATTGATAAGGAGAGTTTTAATGATTATTCCATCATTTTTTTAAGATTCCGAGTTACGTTGATATATTTCGAATAACAATAGGATTCATTTTACTCATAATTGCTATACACTTTTTCTTTAATTGGAAACAACTTTTTTTTTTCATTCTAAAAATCATTTTAAAGACAATGTAAACTTTTTCTCTCTGTATTGAAAAAATTTTTCATAAAAATTGTATCTTTTTTATTAAATTTTTTTAATAAACTCTATTATTATTTTTTTGAAAAAAAATATTTATTTGAGAGTTCCTTTTATATTGTTATAATTTTCTGAAACATAACGATGTTTTCGTAAGACAAAAATCATTTTAAAATTTAAATTTTAGTGTTGAAAAGATAGGTTCTTTTTTTTGTGGGTTATCCGAGAAATTTCTGTTTTATAAAATAATAAAAATTATTTTAATTTGCAACAAATAGTTCAATTATTCATTTCTATAACAATATTCAAAACTTTATTTATGTATAATTTTATGGTACACTTATTACATAGTTGGTGGGGGAAAAAATTGAAAAGAATAAAGATGTTTCAGTTTAAGATAAGATATTTGAGTCGTATGCAAGTAGAAATGTATATGTATATAGTAGGGTACTCTATTCCATCGAATAATAAAAAGAAGTAGATATTCTTCTTTCAGAAGAAAGATATGTTTATCCTCATGGGGAATCCACACCACTCACGAATAGAGGGCTTCTATTATTTTTCAATTGGCCGAGCGCACCACTAACGTTGCAGACAGAGACTGTATATCCTGAATGTAATTGGAAGTGGCTTTACCATCTCAACTGAGTAATTTTCTTTGTTGAAATAGTAAATTTGTATTGGTATATGTACATTGCAGTTATTTTCGAAATATAAGAGGTTACTACGAGGGATTATGAAGGACAACAACTGAAGTACACTAATTTGTACAAATTTCGTTATGTTCTCTAGTTTAATTAAACTTGTACGAATTCAGATATGGAAGAGTACTTACAAGGACTGATAAGATTCGAGAGAAACCGACTATGCATTGTAGATATGACTTTTTTTGCTTTTTATCAAAGTTTAAATTATTTCCATGCCTTCTATCAGACATGAAACAATTGATTGTTTATTTTTTAATAAATATTTTCTTTTCTAAACAAGCTAATTCTTTTTATTTTTAATTTACAAATAATTCTATAATTATTATCATCATTACCTTTATTTACAAAGAAGGTCTATAATGTTTTCAAAACAATGAACCACGAAATATTGCCATATTAACTAAAATGAGTATAACTTTCATCAGGAAACTTTAGTTATAAAAGACGACTATAATAACTTAATAGTGAATATGAGCAAATATAAAAGTAATTGATGAATTTATGAGTGGGTTGTTAAGTTAACAGATTATGGTGATTTTTATTTAGTAAGTTTAATTATAATTCTCCACCACCTGCTTCTATTTGTATTTACTTCCTTTCCGCTCGTAATCACGTTCAAGACTCGCTTGGGAATTCCTGGGAAATTGAAAAAGCAACGTCGTTCAAGCAGCCAGCTACAAGTACTTACCAACAAGTAATTATTGTAAGAATTCTAGGCCGGCATCGCTATCAAGAACAGGAAAGAAACTACGTTCCTTTTCTATGTTCGACCATATCCAACGGTTCTCTTTTGTCTGACCAAAGTGAGTACGTTTTCACTGTCGTCAATTGGTTTCCTTCATACTCTTCTATCGTCGACTCCCAAGACTTGAATGTGCCTTTTTCTGCACCAACTTCATCGTTATTACTACTTTTTAACTATTTAATAATCATTTTAAAGGGTTACATTTAATTATCTTTTCTTTTTACTAAGAGTATTCTATTAATAAATTATTGTTGTCGTAGATTAAAATAAAAATGATTTTTCTTCGACTTTGAAGTTTAATAACAACAAAGAATCTCCAATTTTTAATGCAAGATTTTCTACCAAAAGCTCTCCAAAAAACAAAGTTTGAATTTCATAAACTTTTAATGAGTCGTAAGATTCTACTTTGAAATTTGAGAATTTTGTTCATCAGCTCTATATGTATTTATATGTATTTATGGTGACATGGTAGAGTTTTCTGATAATTATTTTTCAACGAATTGTACAATGTCCCACATTCATCGACCTTCTGCACACATATACATACTTTTATTTAATAAACGTACTCTTGAGCATTTTGCAATTTTTTTTTTAACCTTACCCTCCTCTTCTTCGTTTAGTATGTATTCGTACGTTATGCAGATCCGCTTTTCATACATTATATTTATTTCTTCTTTGTAACAACGTGAAAAACGTGTGCACGTTTATCCTTTTTCTGTGTTCATAGCCGGGTTGCGCGCTAAACGAGTTTCGCCTGAAAAAGATTGAACTAAAGGAGAAACGAAGAGTATTCGAAGAGAGTGTATGTGTCTAGCGAGATAGAATAAAAATTTGTTAAGGTATCATAGCGTATATAATTTTATTTTGGCTTGTCTACACCATTTTATATAAAGTCAGGTTTTATATTAATTTTAAAACTGATGAGTCTTAGATGTTCTAATACACTCAAACTCATGCTAGATTAGTAGGAAGAAATATTATGACGTAGTCCAGTAAAAACATCATCATATCGAGCTAATGTTATGATAATAATAATATTAATATTTGGAAGATGCACGTTGGAATATGCTCACTCAGCCGTGGCTTAAATTCAGCTCTATCTTAGTGTACAATCAGTGAAACCATCTTGCCTAACAGCCTCTACGTGTCTGTGAATATATCGAGACTTTTTTGTTGACATCGTGCGTTTCTAAAATGTTCGTGTATTTAAATAAATTTCAAAGAATTATATTTCTACAAAACTTTAAGCTATAATGACTATTAATTATGAAAGAAAAAAAAAATAAAATGTTCAAAGTAGTAGACGAATTATTTTTTATTTTTGTTTCAGGTGAGTGTCCCCATGAGTGAATTTCTGCAACGAGTAACGAGCACATTTGACCTGCGGGTAAGCGAAAATTTCAACTAAACGAATATAAGAAGTCAGTGCTCAGGTTTGTAGGTATATGTCTGTAATATACAGGAGTGTATGAGTACAGTAAATATACAGGCAGGAGAGTATAACAGGCAACAAACTCAACCGATTTATTTCGTGATACTTGGTGAAGCGTGGCGACGCTTAGATGAGGAGAAACGAGGACGGGAGAAGAGAGTAAGCTAGTTCGAGAGTATTCGTTATATGAGCCTATTAGGCGATCGGTATGCATTCTCAAGTGCACCCTCGGGAGTCGTGGGGGTTGGCTTCCATGAATTTCCAACTAATCGAGCGAATTTCCGAGACTCGAGTCTGCCAAATTAGTCGACACGATCGATTTCGTCAATGATTAAATGCACGATTATGATGTCAGATGATATCCCGGTTGAGTGTTATAAAAATCGCTTGAAATCATTCAGTGAATTCGGTATAGCGTGATAATTGTTGATTCCATTATTTATAATTGAAAAATTCGGCTGGCGGAGAAACGGGATCGTGACATGCCATCATCATGATCTGGTTTAGAATTTAGGAGAGATCGTGTGGAATAGTGATTTTCGGCATTTTTAGAATAAACTCTACATTGATGGAAGTGATTTTGAATTTGTATCACACTTGATGATTGAAATTTTTCGATTACATATTTTAAATTTTCAAGGAAAAAATGATTAAAGCTATTTCAATAACATAAAAAATAATTTTCATGAAAATACCTGGGATTAATTTATTATTTTCTAATTATTGTTAAATCCCAAATATGTAGAAACTGAATTAAAAAAAATTTATGAACGTAATTGATATCCATTCAGTAGGAACAAACTTCACATAAATGCATGCTTTCATTAAAAATTACAGATTTTTTTCTCTTTACATAAAATTTAACTCACATATTATAGTATTCTTTGATTTTAATTACTGTTAATTACTACGAATCAGTATGTATTCACTCATTTTCATTTCAACTACTTTTAAAAAATTAATTAACGACAAACATCCAACTTCAAATATAATTAATTTTTTCTAATAATTGAAAAATGAAAAAAAAAAATGTTAAAAGTGATAGTTTTAAAAATGTTCTTGAATTATTATGAGTCTAGACAACTTAACAGATTATTGCCCTTCAACTACAACATCACTCACTATTATTACTCATAACGTACGAATCAGACTTTTGTATTTGATTGGATGTTAACAATCCATATATCAAAATACCTTGTTTCAAGTGTTTTGTTTCCACTCGTTGTCTACAGTCATCTTCAATTCATATTAGTAACGACTGAAACAGATTCAATAAAATCAATACGTAATTTTATCTCTGGGAATGAATCAATCGACAAAAAGAGTTGTAAATTAATTTTCAATTAATAGAATATTATTATAATCTCATATAGGATACTTTTGATCCAGTATTATCAGCCAGTTATGTTTCACGACTAGACTTAAGATCAGTCTAGAGACATGACTAGATGATAACACTGAACTAGTCGTTTCTTATATGGGTAGTATTAAAGAAAATAGAAGACAGAAGGTTCAGTCCAATTTTAATTGAAAATTCATCAAAGTTATTGAAGAGGGAAAATCAATACCGCTTTTATCGAAAGTAGCAAAAATTATTTCAATATTACTTTCTATTTTATATCATGAAGTTAAAAAATTTGTACACATTTTGTTTACCTTTTTCCAACTTCTTACGATCTGAGCAATACATTATTTATGATCATTTCTTTATTGCATATTTTTTAATTTATCACTCAGCACTAGAAATTTTTCATATTTCATTTTGTCCTGTCGACTTTTCTATCAAATACATGTGAGGATGAATCTATGACATGACGATGTGTGTAGTAAAATTCATCTGACTGATTCGAGAAGGGAATTTTGATTATTGAGCACGACAAAGGTGACATCAAGTGGATGAGATGCGAGAGACACGTGAGGCGCAGTAGCTTCGAATGCCACAAGTCTCGTGAGGGTGACTCGATTTCGACCACAATTCGATTACGTTATTCTCCGTGACGTATTTCCGGCAATAGAGCTCTTCCTTCTACTCTTGGATTTTTTTTCCGTCTTTTTTACCTCATTCCGAGTCCTTCTTCCCTCAGTAGTCTATGTATGTATATATATATATATATATATAGTCGTCATGACGCTTCACATCGAGTCAAGAAGCGCGTAATAAATTCGTTTTACCGATAAACTCAGTAAAGCCCCGTGGATTTTAAGAGATCTCCAGTGAACGAATTTAGGGGTTATCCGTGAAGAGATCGATTTGAGCGTCAAACGATATCTGATAGATGGAAAAAGAAAAGAACTTGATCTAAAGAAATGTACTCGGAATAATCGAATTGACATAAGAGCACCGTCGTATTTTGGACAAAGTTGTAAACTCAAAGTGCAAACCGATCACCTATCAGATAAGCAACTTGATCGGGGGGATGCTCACACACCTAAAACCGAGGGAACACGTAACGCAAGCGTGTTATCTATTAGCCGGGCGTGATAAACGATTCGCTTCCTTCCTCTGAAACTTGCCACGTAAATTCAATACTACGTTCTCCAACCCACAGTGTCTCTATCAAACCTACTAAAGCTACAAATTCTTACTAAATAAAATACTATGAAGTTTTATTTATTATTTTTTTTTTATCGATTACTAATTTGTTGTAATTTTATTATAAATATCTATTGCAATGTACTTCAATTGTTTCAATATGACGTATTAACTTGGATTAAAAAAAAAAAATATATCTTGTTGTGTAGTTAATATGAATGAAAGTGAGTATAAAAGTGAAAAAATTCCAATTAGAATTGGTTTAAAATTCAAATAATTTATTTTCGATCGATTTTACTGTTGGTGGTGAGAATATACAAAGAACGGGGAATGTACAATCATATCGGTTTCTAGAGCTTGTGAGAAGGGAAGACACTCCAGGTGCTCCAAAAAGATAAGCACAAACGGCCGATGCTTGTGTATAGACGGTTTGCGCGTCCGGTTGTACTCGTTGCCAGTTTCTGTGTTGATATAATACAGTAAAACTCGAGAAATGAGGCCATGATACGTGTAGTAAAAGGGTACAGACTACACGTCATTTTGCAGCTTCGATTTTGTATTGTTTTATACACGCATATCGACAATCCTCTCGTATATAGAAATTGCTTGCAATACCACTGGGTAAGGAGAGTTCTAGGTAATGCCTTGAGCTGTATTTTCAATTTACTCGAGTTCTTGCTTTAATTTATTATCCCTCACCATGCTAACTTTATTAAAATTATTTAGTGATACTTTTTAGCTTTGAGAATATTCTACAAATCTACTTTATTCAAAGTAATTTGTTTTTTCTATTATTTTAATTTTCCAGTAGGCAAAGTTTTCATTTTTTGTTCTCGGTTGTATGTTGATTTTGAAATGATTGTGTTGGGATTATTTATTTTATGTGCAATGTATAATATGTAGGATGATGTAGTAAGCGGATTTAAAGCTATTTAAAATATATAATAATAAATTCAGTAAAATTAATGGTGTTTAACGGAATTCAGTATTTTAAATATTTTAATTATTTCATTTATTCATCCATTCATTTATAAAAGTAAAGTTTAAATATATTCAATATCAAGTAAAACAACATTGGTTTTAAGGCATTATTATTGGATTGTAATACCGCATATAACGTATTCACATATTATCATGCATTCTTTTTTTTTATAAAATGTACTAATAATTATTTTCATTCACCATCAGCGTTAAAATTAAATATTCAGTTTAATGTAATCATGAAAAAGACTTTATTATATAGCACTATTATTTTTAAATTCTTTTTAAGAAATAGATGGTGTGGTATCGAGTACTCTCTAGACAGTATCTGTATCAAATCAAAGTGGAATTGAGTGAATTTTCACCGAGTATTTCTTTATGTCACTGGAGTAGTTTTAGTTTTATATTACGAACTTTTTGAAATGTATTTATAAATACCAAAAATAGTTTAAAATAACTCGGAGGACATGTGACTATTTTTACTATTTGTCAATGATCATTGATGGAATGAAAAAAATCGTCATAAAAACGTAACTTTCTTCTTCTTACATTATTATAAATTGGAATCAATAAAATTTAATTCATATTATTGGACATACTTAATAAAAAAAACCGATCAGTTTGTGAGCAAGTACGTGAGGATCATACCGTGAATCACCGTGAGATTGTGAACATACAGATTCACGTGTTGCAAAAGCAGCGCAGGTGTGAGAAGAAAATCATGATATAAATCTCATCATTCTACAAGAACGAGAAAGAGAAGAAAAAGAGAGAAAGAATGTCAGTTTGCTGAAAAAGAAACGTTAGGGGATTATTACGATTTTTTTACCCTCTATTCCTTTTCCTACCGTCTGTTACTAACCCTCTCACCCTTCATGCCTTTCACTTCTTCCCAGACTCGTTCTTCCTTCAGCATTATCCGAACTATTCGTTTGTACCTTTTTTTCTTTCTTCTTTTTCCAAGTTTTTTTTAACGACGACCAGCTAATGGCAAAATTGCAGTGGTTAATTGCCGGCTGGTTGTGCTCTTACTTGTTGGGAAATGATCCGCGAGAGAAACACTGAGTACCATAGGATAAAGTTTACGAAAAGAAAGGTAAAAAAATTTTTAACAAAGATTTTTAATACATTCTTTTTTTGTAACTTAAAAAAAGCTGTCGATCTTGCATTCCCTTTAAAGCTTCTTTCGATATAATAAGCGTAGAAACAAATAGAATAAAGAATAGAGCGGATATATGGTCATAAATTCGTTGGAGTCGACAACTTGGGAGATTGGAAAATTGGTTTTTATCCTTGTTGCTTTATTAAGGGATAGGCTGAGTCTCCAGTAAGTAAAAAGAATTTAAGTCGATCGATTCTCGATACAAAAGATAAGTTACTAGTGAATGACGATGAATACAAAATAGCCCATTTTGATATACCACAGAGAATAATAATACTT